ACAGGGCTTTGCAAATATTAGGTACAGTAACCACACTCTCTGAACTTTTCAAGTCCGTCCAATATCTAAAAATTTGGTCACTTCACTGGCAGCAATGGATTAGAACCAAAACCAAACTCACTGCCGTGGAGTCACATACGACTCACAGCGACCCCCCTCCCCTTAGGTTTCCAAGGCAGTACCACTATGGCAGTAGATTGCCCGATCCCTCCAAGGAGTGCAAGGAGTGGGTGGCGGGTCAGGCCAAGCTAATCGCTCTGCTAAATCCTGAGGTCCCAGCACAAAACCTACCACAGGAGACGTGCAGTACAATTAATTGACCCTGAGAGGTCAGATTGGCTTTGAAGAGGAGGCGCCTAATTCTAGCTGGGAGTAACAATGAAGCCTTCAAAAAGAAGAGCAGTTCTGAAGTGAGGAGAGCTCTCGGAACAGCTACAACAGCCTGGGAAAGGCAGGAACCCAGACAGCGGGATGCACTCACAAGAGTCAAGAAATCAATGCAAAGTGTTAGAAAGAGCGCACAAGACCACCGGCACAGGACGTGCCAAAGGCTTAAGAAGAGCTGGGTCTAGCTCGAGGCGGGGGTGTCTCGAGGGGCCCAAGGGCCTTCCCCACTCTCGGGCCATCTACTCACCTCTCCTCGCACCAACCAGTCACGGTGGTAGCAGAGGCGGCCTTTGTCGGAACTGCGCAGCGCCTGCAAGGTTTCCCAGCAGCGGCTTTCGAAGGGCATGGCCCAGAGAGCTGCAGCCCCGCTGAGGCGCTGCTTGTAACAAAACAAATCCTCGAATCGGCCGCCCGGAAATGGACGTTCGCTTTCGCTTCCGCTTCCGGGGCGCGAGCCCGACCATCCCGACCCTTAACGGCTGAACGCTCCGCCAATCCGCACTTGTTTTTATGTAAGGCGGGGCGATAAGGCTAAAGCTTATGTCATTATTCTCGGTGTTGTCTAAGACCCAATACTGTTGGCCAGGATTGGGAGAAATTGGAACCCTTCAGTTTCCGAGGCAGTATCATTAGGAAGTACATTGCTCCATCTTTCATTCTGAGGAGTGGCTGGTGGGTTTGAACCCCTAGCCTTCTGGTTAGCAGTCAAATGCCTTAGGCACTATGCCACTAGAGCTCCCACCTGCGAAGAGGTCTGGCAGTTCCTCAAAAGGTTTAATGTAGGTTAACCATACCTACTGCCATCCAGTTGTTTCAAGTCATAAGGACCTTTTAGGTGGGACTGTTGTAGGTGGGACTACAGCTGCCCAATAGTTTCCAAAGCTGTAAATCTTTACGGAAGCAGACTGCCTCATCTTTCTCCACCAGAGCAGTGGGTGGGTTTGGACTGCCAACCTTTTGGTTAGCAGCCAAATGCTTTAACCACGACACCACCAAACTCCATTTGAACCACATGAACCCACAGTTTCACTCCTAGGTTTATACTCAAGAAATGAATACACCCACACAAAAACTTGTAAACAAATGTTTTATAACAAAATTCAGGTCAAAAAGTGGAAACCACCCATATGTCCATCAACTGGTGAATGGATAAACAGAATGTGGTATTATCCGTACAATGGGATAGTAGTCTGCCATAAAAAGGAATGATACACTGATACATGCTACAACATGAACCTTGAGAACATTAATGAAAACGGTCACAAAAGGTCATGTTTTACTATTCTACTGATGTGACATGTATAGAGTAAGTAAATCCATAGAGACAGAAAGATTAGTGGTTGCTAGAGATTGGAGGGAAGGGAAATAGGGAGGAACAACAGTTTCTTTCTGGGGTAATGAAATGTTCTGCAATTAGATCATGGTGATTATTGTACCACTTTGTAAATATACTAAAAACTACTGAATTATACACTTTGAGAGTGTGTTTTATCATCTCAAAAATAAATCAAGTATTATTCACAATTGCTTACAGTCTGCTTTTTAAACTAGGAACCCAGACTTTCTGATCCTTCTGTTGGCCACCATATCTCAAGGGATCTCAGTTTGAGGTAGGAAGGCTTCTCTCTGGAGTTTGAAGCAATACAAACATTTTTCATATTTCTCTGATATTTCACAAACTCCTTGGACTTTTTGTGACAAAATATCTTACAGAGGAAAACAGAGCATTGATGGAAAAATCCTAGTAATAGATTTCAAGAGAGATGTTTCCCAGACAGAGTCATACACCAGTGCCTTTCACTGAGAAAGCAGTAGTTAGTGTCATGAAAATAAGAATGACATACAGGTATGCACATATGTTGGTGTTAAGTTTACCAACTTTTCTTGTTAAGAACTTTGAGATATTGTAAGTTCAAGTCCATTTACCTTAAAGTGTGAATATGGGCTTGATTTTGTGGCAATGATAGGTGGTAGTTGCTTTTTTCTTTCCAAATGACTTCCCTTGGCAAAAGTTAAAAGATGAAAACTCCAAATGTCCCCAAAGTTGAAGGGTAGGGGAATTTTTCTGATCTATGAAGTCCAGAGATCTGAATGGGACCCACTGCCTTCAAGGACATAGAGGAATTCTCTAGAGTTTTGCTTAGGTTAGAGTGACTGAGAGAGGACATGACTGGATCACCCAGAAGGCTAATACCAGCTAGAATGGAATAGCAGAGTTCACAGAGCAGCATCAAATTTGTTCTTTTCTCTGTTTTTCTTTCTTTCTTTTAAATACAGGGAAGTATGAAGTGAACAAAAATGGCCTATAATCTTATCTTTCGGAAACCAGTTAACATGTTTTAAATAAAAGTAATACATATACATCTCACCTCCCCCTAACAGCTCAAGTTGTCTGCCCCAAAACACTGAGCAATGTCTTATAAAGTCTGTTTCCTCCAGACACCTCACAGGATTATAATGTGAAAACACACAAAGGGGAAAGAACCAACATGGGCCAAAATAAAATGATAAGCCTAATGTCCTATGCATCAAGTACTTTAAAAATGTTTACTGGCTCTCCTGAAGCACTTTAAAAGTATTCCTAGGGTTTTACTGATCATTTTTTAAAAAGGGATGGAGTATATAATAAAAATCATTCAATAGAGCCTTAAATACTGATTATAAAAACTTTTTGTAAAATACAAATATTTTAAGAATACATTTCATAGATACAAACCAGGCAAAGAGAAACAAACAAAAAAATCAACGAGAATCGTGTTACACTTTAAAAAGTCCAAGAGGACATGAGCCCTAGAGTGCCTACTGTGACGTGCTCAGGGGTAAGTGACCTCAAGGAAACTCTTAGGCATGAAAAGCTGCCATTGAACTTGGAAAGGGAGCCTTGGGAAAAACACTGCACTCACGAAACAAGAAATAAAGCAAGTGAATGTGCTCACAGCCCAGGAGGGCCCAATGAGGAAGAAGGCAGACCTCGGGCTGCAGCTCCTGCTGATTCAAGTCACAGAAAACCCAGAAGGAAGATTCCTCAAGATAGGACAGCTATATGGGGACTGGAAGAATAGACTCGGGCCAAGCATTCTCTGGGGAAAAAAAAAGAGCTAGGTCAGGGTGAGTTAAAATCTAGTACCCTAGGGTAGTAAATTGAAGACCTATCAAGGTATTTTAAAAACTCCCATCAGACGACTCTATCAGGGAAGAGAGAACCAGGTGGGGTCATGAAGAACCGTCTCATCCCCATGCTGCTTTAGGGACTTTAGGGACTTTTCTGGAGCCAGTAGCTAAGGACAAGACCCTGAACACATTTCATCACTGGGAGAGAGAGGAAAACCAACAGGTTTTCCAAGTATGGCTTGGCAACTCCATAGTTTCCATAGTAACAATTAGGACTCCTGGCCCAAGCCAGGTGGCCTCAGACAGGAGGAGATCGGGAGCGAATGGGAGAGCTGGTCAGGTATGTTGTGAAGGGACCATCTCCAAACACATTGGCGTATGATGACTTGAGGAACTGGACGTAGTTCTGCATGCTGCGATTGGTGCTCTCCGACTGCTCCAGGCGATCTTTCAGGTCTTGCAGTCGGCTCTGGTAGCGGCGGTCCGCCTAAGAGGAGAAACAGTGAGCGTATGGGTCAAGTGTAGTGGGCACAGGCAGAGGTCAGGTAGTCTCTCTTCCCTATGACAGCATTAAGCCACTGAACAGAATGGTCCATTTCACTTTTCTGTCTTCTCCTACACTGGGTTTCTTCACCTCTGATCTCCATATTCCCCAGAACCTGGCCTTTAATCTGAACTGTGTAATCCCCTAAAATTATATACAAAACTGAAGATGTTTTTGGTATTTGAAGGGGTGGAAAGTACCATAACCGTCATCAGATTCTGAAAGGGGCCTGCCTCAGAGCCAAAAGAGGTAAAAACTAGGGTAAAAAACATTCAATGAATATTGGTTGAATGAGAGATTATATGGTTATGATTAACTTAAACAGTTCAGTCATACTGCCTAGGTTCTCTAAGACTCAGTTTCCCTATCTGTAAAATGGGGATAAAATTTTAGTACTCAGCCCATTTAAAACACCCAACTTCCTAATAATCATCAAGTCTAAGGCATTAAGAAAGAACAATGTGAAAACCTTGCCTGCCAGGAAGACCAGCAGAACAAGCTGAGAGACTAATACCAGAGCCAGGAGCTAAAGCATCAAGAGATAACCAGCACCAAGTTGAGTCTCCCACAATGGGACACTATGCAACTGGGAGCCTTGCCAAGCCCCCAAGGAGCAGAGCCACACAAAGGGCATCAATACCAGTCAAGGGTGCCACTGGAGGGGGTAAACTGTAGGCCTAGCACAATACAGACACAGGCGTCCTTTCTTTTCTTTCCTTCCAGACCCAACAGAAGACCTTGCGCCAAAGGAAACAAGAAAAGAAAGAATGGACCAAAGACCCTCCCTTACGCAGGTCTCTTGAACCCTGGGTAAGCCTGAGCTCAGGGGAAGAGAGGAAATGAAATTAAACTGATCAAACATATGGAATCTTAAAATAGAACCCAAAATAATAAAATACTTAGCAAAATATTTAACAAAAGAAGACAACGACCTGTACTCTAAAAACTACAAAGTATTGTTGAAAGAAATTAAAGAAATAAATAAATGGAAATACATTCTGTGTACATGGATAGGAAGACTTAATATCGGTAAGATTGCAATACTCTCCAAATTGATCTAGAGACAACACAATCTCTAGCAAAATCTCAAGAGGCTCATTTGCAGAAACTGATAAGCTGATACTAAAATTCATAAGGAAATTCAAGGGGCCTAAAATAGTCAATCATGAACAAAGAACAAAATCGGAAAATTACTTCCCAATTTCAAAATTATTATGTGTGGTAGTGGAATATAGATGACATATATATCAATGGAATAAACTTGAGAGTTCAGAAACATACTCTTACATTATGGTCAACTAATAGTCAATAATTCAAAGGGAAAAGAAGTCTTTTCAACAAATGGTGCTGGGACAATGGGTTATCCAAATGAAAAGGAAGTAGGACCCTTACCCTACATCCTATCCAATAATTAACTCAAACTAGATCACAGACCTAAATGTAAGCACTAAAACTGTACAACTCTTAGAAGAAAGAATAGGAATAAATCTTCATAATCTTGGGTTAGGAAATGATTTCTTAGATGTGACACTAAAAGCACAGCAGACAAAGAAAAAATAGATAAACTGGACTTCATCAAAATTTAAAATGCTTGTGTTTCAAAGCATACCACCAAGAAAATGAAAAGACAATCACAGAATGGGAGAAAACATTTGCAAATCATTTATCTGATAAAGGGCTTGTATACAGAA